CCTTAATTCAATCAGTGAATTAATCCCTGATGCGATTAACTGAGTGGTGAATGGAAGCAAGTGGGGTGTGGCTGAAGGAAGCGTTTCACTGGGGACCTGGCTATGGGGCATATATTTTTGTACCTGGAGAGTGGAGGTTCCCCTGCCCCCCCTCCCCTTTCTGATCATCCTGTGAGCACCTTCCTCCACTAAACTCTTCTGCCCTGATGTTCATCCTCACCTTGAGCCCCAAGGAGTGGAGCTAGCCTTCTATGGATTATGACCTCTGAAACCAAGAACCCTCAAATGAACTTTTCTTCCCTGTAATTGTGCTGGTTGGATCTTTCAACAGCAGCAGCTAAACAGTTGACTAAAACACCATGACATTTGAAAATGTGGATAAAATGGAGAAATTCTTTCTCTTTTCTCTCTCCTTGCTCCTCTCAGTCCTCTGGGGGGCAGCATGTGTATTTAAGGAGATGATTTTTTCAATCAAAATATGGATACCATGTTCTTAGCCAACAGTTTGGACTGGTCTGTAACTCCACCTCTCGTTTTAAGGTGTGGGAAACTGAAGTTAACCATTCTTTCCTTAGTCCCTCACACAGTTAACTAGTCTGGAATAGAACAAAGTTGCTACGGTTTGAATGTATGTTTTCCACAGCTCATGCATTAGAAACAACCTCCAGTCCTGAGAGGTAAGACACTTAATAGGTGCAGAGGCCCAGAGGCAGCCCTCAGGAATGTATTGTGTGGGAGCAGTTTTCATATAAGAACGCAATGCATTTAGCCCCCTGCTTCACACATGCTTGCTTGTCCTTTGCCTTCCACCATGGCATGAGGTAGCAGAAAGCCCTCACCAGATGCCAGGCCTTCTGTCTTGGACTTCCCAACCTCCAGAACTGTGAGGAAATAAATTTCTGTGATTATAAGTTACCAGCCTCAGGTACGCTGTTAGAGCAGCACAAAATTATGTCAAAAAGGCCTAATGTCCAATTTTATGCACATTCCAGATGCTTAAAGTATCCATTATTTCAAAGAGCTACTCAGAAAATAGAATTTTCAATGTCTATAATTGTCATTGGTAATAGAGGGACAGAACATACTAATTACACTTGACAGTGGGAATTCACTAAATTCTGACCTCTGACTCTTCATGAATAACAGACTACAGCTACAGTACAACAACTGACTTGAGCATTGGCCCTTCCCCAGGAAATCTATTAATTGAAAGAATTTGGAGGACATATTAGATATAAACTAAGAGTAGTATGTCCTTCTGTTACATTATACATTAATTCCCATTATATATATATGGGGCAGTATTAAAAAGAAATTAGTAGACTCTGTTGTGAAACAATGGGATCTGTGTAAAGCTATCCTTGCAATATTAGCATGTGGCTTTTTCTGTAAATCTGCCCTTTTGGCAGGGACTGCCAAAACAAAAGGAATTCTAATCTTATGCTTAATCCCTAGAAAAATGTCAGTAGCTCTTAATATGTACAAAGTTGCTGCTATTGATTATTTTTTCCCAGTATTTGAAAACTATGTTCTTAGTATCATTTTCCTATCATGTGGTACTGATTGTGTGTGTATGTGTGATTTTGTGGAGTGTGCGCATGCACACATACTGCCTTGTGCATCTCTTTGCCTGTGTTCCCAATTGGCTCTGAAAAAGCTAGGTCAGTGGACTGATGTGATCTTTGAGATGCTGCAGGCTGGGTTTAGCATGACTCTCTTAAAACCAGTAGGCAGAGCCTCTGCTGCCTTTCTGTTGTGTTAAGTGCAGCTTGAAATTTTGATTGGAAAAGCCCCTTCTTCCTTACTCTCCCCCTTCTTTGTCACATCAGGCTATGTTAGGAACTGTTCTCCTGGGAAGCTTCGAAGTGAGGAAATGGTGGGTGGAGCAGAGGAGAAAGAAAGGGAATCCATGCTGTGGAAAGCTGCACTGTTGCTGTAGTTTCCTTTCCCCTCACTGAGACTTAATCAGTGGTTGGAGGAAACTGGAATGTTTGAAGAATGAGGGCCAATGCAGGGTGCAAGAAGGAGGGGATGACAGGAGAATTCAGTAATGGGACCAAGGGAAGTTGAGCAATGTAATGCCTAATAAATGATATTATAGAGCTCTGGGTGATTAGGGCGTCAGTCAACCAGAGAACAAGACAAAACTGCCCCATGCTTTCTTTTGAAGATCTACAGATATATTCTGCACCAGGCTGCCAGAGTAGGGGAATGCACGCTAATATTTCTACAATTCCCTTTTTCCTCACATTAGGGAAAAATAAGTGCCAGAGCCCACCTGCATATCAGTCACCAATTTCCCATCAGCTTTCTTAGTATCTCAACAGTACTCCCAATTACCCAGATTCCGGTTTCATAAAGTAAATCTCAAACTCAGCTACCAATTGATTGTGCCCTGCTCAAGTTGTATAGCTTACCTGGCACACTTTTATTTTATAGATACTAGATGATGGATATACCAACTGAATCAATCCTGAAAACTTCAAAAGATCAATGGTTCAGGGAGGAAAAAGGGCAAAAACTCTGCTGAGAGAGGTATCAGAAAAAGTCATTGTTCAAGTGGTGGAAAAAATATTGAGTGAATATTAAGACCTGGGTACTAGACAGAGCTTCACCTAGTTACATGGCCTTGGGAAAATTACATTTGATTTCTTCCTTCACTGAATCATAGGTGGAACCTGATGACTGGAACCTGATGATTTCTAAGATTTTCAAACTCTCCCATTTTATTAATCACATATTCATCAACAAGTATATGTTGTTGATAGACATAGGTTGACTCCTATATACTAAGTATTATATACATGCCCATAATTTTTTATTCTATTGGGCTACTAATGATTCTTCTGTGTAAAAACACAGGGAAATTGTACCTGAAAGGGATATGGAAAGTGTAGAATACTCTGCAGCAGATACTTTGGGTATTTACAAAAATATTGATATATGTATTCCAGGAACAGATGTATAGGTTCTGCTCTTTGAGATAGTAACAAATATTACTTAGAAAAACTATGTTTTATCTGAAAATATATGAGGTAGCTGATCCAGAGAGAAATAATCCTAATTCTATTTTTAAGTTGGGTGTGCTTGAATGAACACACACACACACACACACACACACACACATGAGATAATTAGATCAGGAAATACACAAAGTAACATTGTCTACTTGAAAAATAAAGAATGTGGTCCATGAGTTTGTCTATCTTATTCATCTCCATATTTATACTAATATTTGTTAAAAGAATGAATGAATGAAAGAATGCATATAGCAGAGATTTCTTTATTCTTTTCATTTCTAGTTTCAATTCCTGTACTACCCTGAGTGTTCAGTGTTTTCTTGAATAGTCTGTCTTTTTCTCTATTTAAATGCTGGAGTTCATTATGACCACAATATGGTATGCTGTGGAATCAAAAGATGTTAGTATTGAAAATACACATTTCCTACTACAATATTTTACTGCCTTAAATTGCCTGCTGAACCCCTCTATAACAAGTTCAATGCATTACTATTGTTTAGTTCCATAGCACCTAAAAACAGAGTGTGGCACAGAATAAATGCTCAGTAACTCATGAATGATTTGGCCAATTCAATGGAAATAATTAATGTGGGTACTGGAGGTGAAGATACAGGCTAATGGGAAGATAATAAAGAAACTTGTCATTACATTTTCAGTCATTCTCATTCAATGTTAAAAAGTTTTCCACTACGCAAATCATATTTCTTGTTTACTCTAAATTACCTCTAGAGTCCCTTCAAATACTATCAAATACATTATTTTGATTCCTTCAGTTATTATGAAGAAAAAATTTTATGAAGAGTTTGGCCTGATAGTATTAACAAAGATAAGTACCCAGCTGAGAGTAAATGCTTACTTAGCATTCGGCAACAACAGTTGTGGTTGTCTCTAATAGTTTTTCATGTCCCAGGTCTATCATAAACTAAGTGAAGATGAGTGGAGTCTTATGAGTCTTATGCTCAGCACTAGTTAAGACTGCTCAATTTAGGTGGAAGAATTCTGGTGTCTGCAGGAAAGAGGCATTTTGTTTCTTCAGACAGCACGAAACTTAGATATTCCCTGGCTTCAGAATCCACCTGGATGATTGGCAGAGATGACAAATGGGCACCTGGAGATTTTATCCTGTCCCTCTTCACCTAAAATGCCATCTGAGAATAACCTAGGTTTTGATGGTTTTATATATTATCCCCCCAATTGTGGAGCACAAAAGAAATAATGGACTATTATCAATAGGAGGGTGGCAGACTGGTTAATTGCTCCTAATTTTGGTGGAGATTATTTTAAAACATTTGCCACCAACTGAATTGCCCAAGGCAAGTCCCTTATGGAGATCAGTCTTAATTTATTCAATTTACTCTTTTTTTGAGAGGTTATTATGCAGCGTTTTTCCATTTAAAGTACCATTTCTATCAGATATTTTGGAAATCTTCTGCACTACAGAATAAACCATCCAACCTTTTTGTTACAAGTAAAACTGCCATGTTACAATTAGGTAAAAATGGAAACTTGAAACAAAATCCTCACATTTTAAAATTTTCTTGTTTTTCTTTTCATGTAAGTGTATTAGTATTAGTATTATTTTCTCCCTCCTGACTGAAGTTCATGCTTCCGTATCAAGGCACTGCCTCTGATTTCTCCTGTCAAATCTCCTAGAGCAGATGGTCTCTTCAGGGAAGCTCAGCGAAGTGCTGGATGTCTGGTTATGCCTGGCCCCTCCCTCCTTCTTCGGGGCCTCAAATGACAAGTCTTCAAATCAGTTTCACTCTAGTGAGGGGTCCTTAACCCAGTAGCAGCAGGTTTTGGTTCCAGGAACTGCAGAGACCCTTTGCAATTGGGTTTCTCAGCTACCCCAGTCCGCAGCAAGCCCGGGTCCAGGGGTGGGGGATGAGAGTGATATCTCTACTGTCCAATCAGAGACACAGTTTTCTCTGCGGTCCCCGCCCCGCTTTCCCGAGGCCCCAATAACCGCTCTTTAAGGCCGGGCTTCTGCTGTCAAGTAGCTAGGGTGGGCTCCGCGGAGGCGAGGAGGGGCGCTGGGAGGGGAGATGCGCTCCCAGGTGTTTGCAGCGGAAGTGGGAAACCTGTAGGGTATGGTCCAGCTGTGCCGCGCCGGGGCAAGCAGGAGCAGGGACCAGGTAGGAGGCAGGACTTTTCCTTCTTTGCAAATAGAATAAAGAATGCGTATATCCATACTGTCGCCTCGCTACCCCTTCCCCCGCCCCGCCCTTGTTACACCCCAAATCTCCTGTGGTCGCTGCAGCTCTTGTCATGAAGTACTGAGGGAAGGACTAGGGTAGAGGTTGTCGGGCTGCGGGATGCTGGAGCCCGGGGGTGGCGGGCAGGGAAGGGCGGCAGTGCCCCAGGAAAGGGTACCGGAGCCCTGGCCCCGTGTCTCCTCAACTTTCCTCTCAGGGCCTGTGGCTGCCACCGCCGGTGACTCGCCCGAGGGATGCCATGTCGACCCGGCAGGGGCAGGGGAGGGGCTGGGGGAGCAGACATGTCAGCAGCGGGAGCCGCAGGTCTTGAATCGCTCAGAGCTTCTCTTCCTCCCCACGCCTGTCTGCACCTACCGCTCTTCCCTCTCCTCACCTGCGGTCTAGACTCCAGCACATCTTGCAAAAAAACCTGGAAATGACCGCAGTGATGGGGAATAGGGACTGTTTGTTTCCTGGCCTCTCTCTTAAGAACTAGTTCGCTTTGGGAGGGGCGTTGGGAAAAATCCCTGCAACTCGAAGGGCATTTTCCGATTAATTACGCCTCTATTGAGAAGACACGGGCCCTTTTCCACTATCTGCTGCAGCCTGAGAAGGGCAGAGACAGAGAAGGCTTTGCCTCGTCCCTTCCACCCTAGGGTTTTCTACTGGGAATCACCATCTCACCTAGTTGTTTTTTTTTTTTTTTTTTTTCCCTGAAAGGTGGGTTTGGTCTCAGGGATTCCCAGAGTCAGGTGACTGTGCCCGGATGAGCTCAAGCTGCTGCAAGGCAGCCTCCCTGGGTGACCGCATCTGGGTAGTAGGTGTTGGCCCAGTGCCTGTTCCTGCTAGAGTCAGATTGCTGGTAGCAGTAGAGAGAAGAATTGCAGAGAAATCAGAGGCTGCATCACTCTGGGGGACTGCAGACACCCTGCTTTAAGAATTCCTGAAAAATTGGGGTGATGGGAAGGAGGGAAGATGGGAAAGCTGCAATCTTTTCTCAATTTTTTTTTCATGCCCAAACCAGCATGGACATTTGTATGTGTGTTTATGTGTGCACATCTCCAAGGTAGAGCTATATATAGCTCCTGCACACCCAGCCTGGTTTGCCTGCTGCTGAGCAGGCTGCCTTGGCCTTCTGAAGCAATCTGGAAGCACTGAGTGGGAGGGGCAGAAAGAGAATCAAATCTCCATTGGGGGAAAAGCCAGAGAAGAGGCACTCAGACTGACGAAACCCTGCACGAAATAATGTTTCTGCAATGAACATAAAGATCAATATTTTCAAATATTATTTTGAATTCTTAAAGGGCTATCTGATCATCATCCATTTCTCTGCAGTTTTCAGCTTCATAGTGTACATCTTACCAGCCTGCAGTGTAACAGACATCAAATAAATACATACTATATCTGGAATGTTTTATTAAACTCACCAGAGGATAATGATGTGCTTATACCTGTACCTCAATTATTTGGGAGTAAACATATCTGATTGCAACTTACAGCTAGGGGCATTTGAAGGGCTAGAAAAGGATCCACCCCTTATTCAGGATACAGAATTATGGAAAAGTGAGACCCTCTGGGGGTAATTTTAATATGTTTCTTCATACACAGTTTTCTTGTGGACATATTTGAATTTGTACTGCTGTTTCACATCATACCTATTATTCTATGTATTTGTATTACATGGGCTTTCTTTTATAGATGTATTTGCATGTATTTTTCACATTGCCTGGAATTACTTCTGATGATAATCTTTCTGTTGTTACAGATGAGAGAAATTGAAATTTGGAAGACACAGGTGACATGCTTAAAGTCTTCCAAAAATTTCAACTATAATATTCTAATAACATACTGTGCATTTATACTGCATAGCAGGTTCCCTTCAAATAAAATACTTCCCAGCTTCCCACAATTTTTGCTCTCAGTAACAAAATTCAGACAATGTTGATACTGATAATAATACACACCAAGGTTGTTCATTTCTGGTCTTAAATGCAGTCTTGCAAAATACAGTGCTGAGTTCTAGAATATGATTGTAACATGCCATGTTATTTTGAAGAGAAATGATTTAATCTACCAAGATAACCATCACAGGCAGAGGGAGCTGACTTTTAATTTTGGTTTTATAACTGCCTAATTATCTGATTTGGGGCAAGTTAATTATGATCTTAGAGTCTCAGTTTCCTTGTCTTTAAAAAGAGAGTAATAGCACCAAAGGGTTCTATAAAGTGTATGCATGTTTCTACCCTGAGGTTGGATACATAGTGGGTCATTAATATTAGAGCTACTAATACTAGAACTACTATTAATTGTAATGATACATTGGAGTATATCAACTAGATGCATTTTTAAAATCAGTGGCTATAATGCAGATTGGAAAACTAGTCACACTCAGTCTTGCTTTGTGGCTTGAACTTAATAGTATGTCTGTTTTGCTGTCTAATTAGACAGAAAGTACTTTTATGGAAAGATTATCACCTATGTTTTTGTATACCCCATTACACTGAACTCAGTTCTAAGTAACCTCAAAGATTCTTGATGAGGAAGCATCATCATAAGGATCTACTGGGAGGGCTGTGACAATGACTTTGGGATGATCTATTTGTGTATAGAAAGCCAACATTGGGAACTACTTTTGGAAACTTTTTCTGGCTCTATTATCCTCTCCATGATGAGTAATAGATGACGTCAGGTGTTTCTATATCCTTTCACAGAATGATTCAATTTCCTAATCAGGGCGATGACTTTGTACTGGCTATTACATACATTTTCTCATATCTTGTCTCTTTGGGACTAATAGAGACCTAGTTAAGAGGTAGACAATTTATATTTCTCTGTACAAAACATGCCACATTTTCCTATTAAAAAAATAAATCACAACTGCTTCTATTTTCACCCATTTCTTCATGTAAATTGGCTATGACCTGCATGGTGTCACAGAATCTATCAGAAATCACCAGCAAGCTCCTCTTCCTTATTGCCCAGTGCTTTTTAAAATTTTATTGCTATGGTGTTGTTCTTCCCTTCTGAACTGCCATTTTCCATATTCTCCTTTTCCTTGAAATTTTAATTATTGATACTATATTGCTCTTGTGTCAAATTTTCTCTTACTTTTAAAAACCCTCCTTTCTTGTCTTCTTTTATTTCTTAATACTGACCCTAGCTGTCAAATGAATCCCCAAATTGATAAAATTTATGTTATAAGAAACAAAATTTTTCTCCTGAAGTTCCATTCCTAATATGTTCCCCATTAGCCACTCCAAAATACTATCCTCGTGGGTAAGAACAGGTTCTGCAAAGAAACCTACATGTGCTAATATTTATATAATAAATATTATGTAGATAATTGAACATCAGCAAGTTAGTTGGGGATTATAAAAGTGCTTACTTTAGAATATTTTTTAATGTGTTGAGATAACTGCATGTAAAACATTCAAGATAGGGCTTTGCCCATACTAATTATTCATAAGTAATAGCTATTAGTAGTTGTGTTTATGGTAATGATAATGTACATAGTGAAAACTGGTTGTTGCATTTCCCCCTCATTGCCTGTAACAAATGCTATAGCTTTCCAGGCTTTCTGATTTGTGGTTAGTTGCTTTTCAAAACTTTCTTAAATCTACCTTCTAGTGTTCACCATCTATTCAGTAATTGATTTATTCATTTGTATTCTCAACTCTAATTTGTGTCCTCTATTTTCTGTAGTACCAGTTTCATCTGTGATCACATGCCCAAATTAGTTAGTGTAGAAGGTACTGTGTCAAGTGTCCAAGGGTATCAGCCTTTCTGCTTTAATCTAAGATGCCACATACTATTATGTGAATGATGTGAATGATATATTCTGAATTTTCATTATTGCTTCTACTTTGCCTTGAAACTGTCACAGTCTTTTTCACATTTTAAAGAGGACTGGCTTTGGAGCAAGAGACATGTGGATTCAACTTCTAACAATAGGACTTAGTTGTATGTCCTTGGAAATGTAGCAGAAGGAAGATGGGGTCTTGCTTCACAGTTGGTTGTGTGTACGTCCTATTGTGTAAAACTGTTTAAAAATATAAAGACACACACTTATATTATTAAATAAATTTTAATATTAAATAAAAAATAACATTCTTATTAGAAGGAAATACCTCTAAAAAGAAGAAAAATTGCAAAGTAAAAATAAATATAAGTCTATGATACAGAAAGAGAGAGCGTAAGAGATCCACTCTCAATCTTTCCATCTTGTTGTAATAAATATCCGTAGTTATTTTCAATTTGTAGATTTGAGCTTACAGTGAATATTCATTTTTGTATTTAGTCTTCTTTCACTTAACCTATCCTAAACATTAATTCATTTTATTTACTATTCTTATTAACCATGTTTTTTTACAGCTTCCAAATATTCTGTTTTATATATAGTCCCTTTAAGGTGTTTCCAGTTTTTCAGTCATGACATTAAAAATAAATGTACACAAATTTTTGAATTTCTGACCATTTAATTGTGAAAATTTCTTTGAAGTTACCAGGGAAATGTATAAATATTTATAGACTCTTACTACTGACAACTTGCTTTCCCGAAAGATCATGCAAGTCTTATTTTCCATTGGTAGGTATACTGATTTGGAAGGACAGTAGTTTTATCACACTTTGCATTACTGTTAAAAGAATCATGACCATTTTGATAATAGAAATTGTGAATCTAGTTCTTTTGAGTTATGTTTAATTTTTTCGATTCAAGAAATGTTATCATATTTATTGGCTCTTTGTATTTAATTTACAAATTTTATTAGACTCCTTATTGAAGTGTTCATATTTTTTGCATAAAATAAGAAATCTGTTACATGCTGCAAAAATTTTGTTTACCTTGCTTTCTTACCTTTTTAAGATGTTTCCTGACCAAAATCTATAACTTTTCTGTAGATGATAAATTTATTTGTAGTCTTATCTTTTATAGCTTCAAG